AAATCCCCATTTTAGAAACAAAGAAATTTGCCCAAGGTCATACATCCATTAAGTGAGGGAATGGGATTTGAACCTAGGTTTACTGGCTCCAAGTCTGTGCTTTAGATCATTTTCATTTAAATCTGCACCTCCTCGTTCTTTGTCCTCAAATGCATTTAGCTGAGTGTGCTGCTTTCCCTCCCTATAGGCTCTGTCTGTGTCTCCACCCTTTGTGCTCTCTGGAAACAATACTCCTTTTCCTAATATAACAACCTCAAAGGTCAGTGAAAGGCATCTGACTCCGCCCTCACCCCAGAATCAAATTCAGATGAGAACTTTTGATTGGTGTCAGGGTCAACTTGACCCAGGTGGGGAATCAGGTAGAAGCAGGGGAGAGACCCCAAGAAGGAAGGGGCCAGCCCTCTGTCGCCCACCTGGCAGTTGTCAGGTGTGTGTCCCGTTTATGCAATCCGTGCTTGCACATCCAGCCCTCCGCTTCTCCTCCGAGGTATACAAATACTGCGGGGATTCACAAACTGTCTGGAGGTCTCATTAGCAGTTTTATAAGCCCCACAGAGAGCCAACAAGCAGCTCAGAGAGGAAAGGAGGAGACACACAGCTGCCAGGCTGGGCTGGGTTGCCACAGGAGCACAGACAGACCCGAATGCCCTGGAGGAAGGTAGGGCTTGGGCTGCGTGCCTTTTCCAGGAACCGACCTTCCCTGGAGGAAAGTCCTCATGCTATTGATGAGCACTGAATAGGGATGGCAGAGTCCAACGCCCATGCCAGGGATCCACAGCAGGACGATCGGCCAGCTGGCCCTCCTACCTGTCTCCTCTTCCTTCCAGGGGCCCTTGGATCCCTCCCAACTGTGATTGTTGAGTGTTGCGGCTTTAGGAGCTGTCCCGGAGCCCCCACTTACCCTGGCAAAGGTCCGGAAGCCCTGGAGGATGGGCCTGTAGCCTGTGCAGCGACACAGGTTTCCTGTGGGCCAAGGGAAAAAGCTGCATTGTCAGCACGGGCCCCTCTGTCAGGAAAGGGCTTGTGACTTTGCTCCTGACTCCACTGGATGCTCAGCTTACATATTCTGTTTTCTCTGCCTGGAATACCCTGTCCTCTTCCTCGTATTCCTGACTTCAAACCATCTATCACTTCTTCCAGAAAGCCTTCCCAGACTACTCAGACTGAATCAGGTGTGTCTTCTGAGCACTCCCCCGGTGCCTGGTCATGGCCTTATCAATGAGTTTATCAAACCACATTAGAAACTCCCTTCCCATTCAGACTGCAAACTCCTTGAGCATAGAGACCATATTTCTTCCCCTGGGACTTCCCTGTGTCCCCTGTACCTTGTATCGTGCCTGACATAGGATAGGATTCAATACAACTGCTCAAGTAGATGATGAACTGAAATGGTAAAGGGAAGCAAGTCTTCTCTGTTCAATTCAGAGGAACAGACACCTTGCCAGGGTCTGGGGCCCATTCACCAACGGCAAAGTGGGAAGCCAGTTCCTGCCCAAAGCTCAGAATCACAGCCACCTTCCTCATTATGTGGCCTTTGCAGACTCTTGTCTAGTAAAAGCAGAGAAGATAGGAAGCCACGTGACTAGCCTCTGTGGATTTTCCCAAATGATCTCCTCCTGTGCCAACTAGGCAGTGCCTAGCCCTAGAGCTGGAGATACCTTGGGAGATGAACACTAGGGCAGAGACCCCAGGAGGTCTCCAGACCATGCGAATGTTCTTCAAACTCAGAGGGTTAATCTCCCAGCAGACCTTAGCCACCATGTTGGGGTACCTGCACCGTTCCTCTGAAAGCCTTTCCTCGACCTACTGGCCCATCCCTGGCTTCTACTCTGGCCCCTCCCTAAACTCTATAGCCCCGGCTGCCATTCCACCTCTTTGGCTGTGCCCCCAGACCCATACCTTGGAAGGCATCCTCGATCTCCTCAATGGTGGGCTCAGGCTGGTTCCGGAGCAGTGTGTACATGCTCATGACGATGCCAGGGGTGCAGAACCCACACTGGGAGCCATGGCTTTTGGCAATTCTCTCCTAAAAGGGACAGATGACATAGACATACACATGGCAGAACTGCTCTCATGCTCTCTTATTGACTCATCTGAAGCCAGCCCATTCTGATAGGCTGAGTGGGGTAGCAGTCACTTCACAAAGTCGGTCTCAGTGCCGACTGTGGCCTTGGCCAGGTTTCCAACCCTCTCTGGAACCATAGGCTCCTCATCTGCATCATGACGAGCACCCTAGTACTTACCTCCGAGCTGTGGTGAGGGTTTAATGAGATAACTCACATTACATTCAGCATTATTATACCCAGCACATAAAAGGTAGTCAGTCAATGCTAGTTACTCACAGAAAAGTCTCTTCAAAGATAATGACTATTAGAACCAGAAGAGCTTCTCATCCTCCATTCTCTGCATTGAATAGAGGAGGTAGCAGGCCCAGAGATTTAAAAGATTTAGCCAAGAATGGAAGCCTGTGTCACATTCTTTTAATACACTAGCCCTCAATCCAACCCAATCAACATTTATTAAGAATGAGATGAACATGGGGCACCTGAGTGGCTCAGTCAATTAAGCGTCCAACTTCAGCTCAGGTCATGATCTCATGGTTCGTGAGTTTGAGCCTTGCATCAGGCTCTTTGCTAACAGCCCAAAGCCTGCTTCAGATTCTGTGTTTCTCTCTCTGTCCCACCGCCCATCTCACATTCTGTCTCTGTCTCTCTCTCAAAAATAAGTAAACATTTGGGGCACCTGAATGGCTCAGTTTGTTGGGCCTCCAACTTCGGCTCAGGTCATGATCTCACAATTTATGAGTTTGAGCCCCGTGTTGGGCTCTGTGCTGATAGCTCAGAGCATGGAGCCTGCTTTGGATTTTGTGTCTCCCCTGTCTCTCTGCCCCTCCCTCACTCTTACTCTGTCTCTCTCAAAAGTAAATAAACATTTTAAAAATTTTTAGTAAATACATAAACATTGTAAAAGATTAAAAAGAAACCCAGCTGAACACATTTTTTTCCAAACTGGAATACCACTACATTCCTAAGTGAAAGAAACCATTGAAGTCCAGTGGGGACATAAGAATTTGGAAATTTACCATGTAGATTTTTATGCAAGAATTTTAGTACAAGGAGATTCTCCAAATCTATATTATTATTATCATTATGTCTTTTGGGAGTCTCTCTTGGTACGTATGTTAAGTAAAACTGCTATTTCCAGTATTTCCAGTGCCTAGCATATATGTTCATCCATTCTGTAAACATTTGCTGAGAGCCTATTATGTGCCAGACATGGTAAGGGCACTGGAGACAGAGCAGTGAAGAAAGATAAGGTCTCCAGGCAAATGAAGTTAGTAACTGAAACTGATAAAGGAGATAAGAAAATTCCAGATGGAGACCAATGCTATGTAGAGATTAGTACAAGATGTCTGGACCCAGAGTGACCAGTGGCTTACTCAGAGTGGTCATAAACAGCCCCTCTGAAGAAGTGACTTTTGAGTGTAATTTAATGATGTGATTTGGATCAGGGAAGAGCATATATCATATAATTATGTTTTGTTAAGAAACATTCTAGCTCCGCGTAGGAAATGGGTTACAGGAGACAAGAGTAGAAACAGGGACCAGGACATGATAGTGGTCCAGGCAAGAGGGGACGGTGGCTCAGACCAAGTGGTTATTGAGAACACTGAGAGAAGATGAAGAAGTCATCCTAGGGTTTGGAAGTCAAGTAGACACCACTTCTGGATGGACTGGTAGGAGAGAAGGAATCACAGGTGACTCCTGGGTTTTTGTCTCGAGCAAGTAGGCAGATGCTTTTCCCATTGACTCAGATGGGGAAAAAGAAGTCAGGGGACGAATGGGATTCATTAAGTTTGAGATTAGACATCCACATAGTGATGTCAAGTAGGCAGTTGGAAATATGAATCTAACCTCTGAGGAGAGGTCAAAGCTGAAGATGTAAATGTGAGTGCTCTTCGCACATTGATGGTACTGAACTCACCCAGGGGGATCGTGCAGGGGGAGAGAAGAAGGGGCCAGGCCCAGCCAGGGGGACACTGCAGCCACCAGGAGCTCCATCAGTGGGGAGCCAGCACAGGACCAACTTGGGAGGTAGGAGGAAATCAGCAAAGCATAGTATCATAGGAACCACGAGAAAAGCCAATGGAAAAGGAGAAGTGGAATCTGGCTCTACAACTTACTTGGGGCCAAAATAAGTGCATTGGGAATAAGAATCTGTACCACTGGAAATGGAGGGTTTTAGCTGACTGTTCAGATATGATCCCTGCGTTGAAACTGTTCTTTCATCTGCTTGTTTCAAAGAAAATTACAAGCCCGAATTAACCCTCCAACATCTCCTGCAGGTTGGACAAGTTTAATGATTTCCCCTCTTGCTACCTAAGAAAGGAGGCCATAAAGGTGAAGCATCACCGCTGTGACCTCATGTGACTGGTCAGGACACCCTTCCCTGCGCATACAGCCAGCTTACTCAGCAGAGGCCCTGGCCCTACATTCACATAAGGTGACCAAGAAAGGCACGATCTGAGCAACTTGTCTCCTCCAATGGCCAGAGGGCCTGCCTCTGGCACCTTCTGTGACTACAATGTCCAGAAGACCCCTGCATCAGTTTCCCCACACAGAGCTCTGGAAACAATGGTCTTTCCTTCCCACAGTGCTCTGCTCTCATTTCTTTCCATGTTGCCCAAAAGATTGGATTCTCTCCATAAAACCTCCCAGATTACTGTCTGCTCTTTGGACCTAATTTTAATCCATTGCCACGTGGCCTGATTCCATCAGGAAAAAAGCCTTCATCAGACATTCAGATGCCTCTATTCTTTTTATTAAGCCCTTACTAACCTCCATGTTAGTGAAGATAGAGGTACTGTAGCCCCCATCTGTATTACCTGCAGGTGGGGTATGAGAAGAGCAATGGAATTACCATTCGAGGGAGCAGGAGCAGGGGAGAAGCAGGCTTTTTCTTTCTTTTATAGTTTTATTGTCAAGTTGGTTTCCATATAACACCCAGTGCTCATCCCAACAAGTGGCCTCCTCCATGCCCATCACCTCACTTCCCCTTTCCCCCACCCCCATCAGCCCTCAGTTTCTTCTCAGTATTGAAGAGTCTCTCATGGTTTGCCTCCCGCCCTCTCCCCAACTATTTTCCCCTTGCCTCCCACGTTGTCCTCTGTTAAGTTTCTCCTGTTCCACTTATAAGTGAAAACGTATGGTATCTGTCCTTCTCTGCCTGACTTATTTCACTTAGCATAACACCCTCAAGTTCCATCCACATTACTACAAATGGCCAGATTTCATTCCTTCTCGTTGCTGTGTAGTATTCCGTTGTATATATAAACCACATCTCCTTGATCTATTCATCAGTTGATGAATAGGCCGACTTTTTAATCAAGAGCACAGAGCTTTTGGAATCTTGAATTTGAGATGGCAGGGGTTTCCTAAGCACACTCGGGGGGCTGGGTGGGGAGGTCCCTCACCTCTTCCCCCTCTGAGGCTGGTATACCCGGACTGCCCTGTCCACCACATCTGGCTGGCCCTGTGGTCCCCTCGGGGTCATGCAATGGCCACAGGAGGGAGCTTCAGACCTGGGGCCTCATCCTTCCACCTCACCACCCCCAGAGGAGAATGGAGAGGTGGCCGGGCCACAGAGCCTCCTGGCTAGGCAGTGACACTCAGCTTCCCATCCCAAAGCAAGTCTGCAGCCCTGGCACAAGATTCCGTTCCCTCCAGTTACCTGCACAGGATGCAGCCTCGACTTGGTGCTTCCTATTCCTTCCACAGTCGTCACGGCAACATGATGCAAAGAGCAGATGGGGGCAAGGCAGGCATTGGCAGAAAAGTGGCTGGAGCCCAGATTAAGGTCATTCCATTGCCCACAAAGGCCATCAGAGACTTCGAGACGCTTTATGTCATTACTCTTCACTCTGCGTTACATTCTGGCCTCTTCCACAGCTGTCCTCACCTCTCCACCCAGGACTCTGGGCCAGCAACAAGGGAAACTCCCCCCACCCCGGGGGTGGGGGCACGAGCCCCTGCTGAGGCTTGTGTAACAGGCGTCAGTGCATCCTAAGCCTCTGAGCTGGAGCATGGGCCCCAGGGTCACCCGCAGTCACCTCTTAGTCCAACCCTGGAGGCTAGGTCAAGAGGAAGTTTCTGGCAGATTCCAGGCCCAGTACATGCCTCTCTCTCTGCAGGGCCCTTCCATAGCCTCTCCACTCACTTTTGCTCCCGGGCTTTTACCCACCTCCTTTTCTCCCATCCTCTGTGGAGTAAAGGGAGGGGCAATTCCCAGGAAACATCAGACACCATCCCCTTAAAGAGAGCTTCCTGATGTCCATTTTTCTTGTAACCACTCATTCATTTACTCAACATCAGCAAATGCCAGGCATTCTGCTGAGGGCTGAGGAAATGGAGGTGGGTAAGATTTTCTTTGATAGTCTGCTGTCCACCCAGGAAAACAGAAGCCAGCATAAAGATGCAATCTAAACAGCTTACTGTAAGCATTTCAGGAGAGCTGAGGACAGGGCACTGTGGGACCAGCACAGCCAGTGGGTACCCTATACAACCTTAGCAGGTCAAGGAGGGTTCCTGGAGGAGATAATATTTTGCCCTGTCCTAAGGAACTAGCAAGAGTTAGCCAAGTACAGAAGTCCTAGAAAAAGGACACTCAAGACTTGGTAACAATTTATTCAAAGACCAGGAAATCAGTGGGCAGAGAGTGTTAGGAGTCCACAGTTGTCCCAAGGACGGAGTGCTGGGTGTCTGAAGGGAGAAAACTGAGGAGCACAGATGGGGCACACCTTCCTGTGTGGGCCTTTAGTGCTAAGCACAGAAATTGGACGTTATCCCACAGACAGTGGAGACCATCTGAAGGATTTCATGGGATAGAAAATGAGTCTGTGTCTTAGAAAGGTCTCATGGGCATGCACACACACACACACACACACACACACTCACAACCTGACCCCTACATCACAGTCCTTGCATGGACACTCAAACCATCAGGCAAAGGATACATGATCTTGTTCTGGAAACGATCATACTTGGAAAGCATCACCGTGCAAGCCCCGCAGCCCCCTTCTCCACAGCCCAGCTTGGTCCCGCTCAGCCCCACTGGATGGTGGAGGGTTAAGGAACATGAACTCACAGAAGAGTCTTTGCTGGGCCGCTGGGAAGTGTCTGTGCAGAGCCATCCGTTGCCACACCCAGGCTCAGACCCCTCAACCCAGGGAGGCAGCAGACCCACACAGCCTCCTCTTCCAGAAAAGGCTGCACTGTGCCTTGGAAGGCAGAGAATGGGACCATCCCCACTGCACAGAAGAGGAAAGGCATCAAGGTCCCATCAGACAGCACCCAAGTATTCCCTGGGACTGGAGTCCCACTGCTGTCCAATCCTGGAGATTCTTCTTCACATTGAGATCTTCTTGGCATGGTCTTCTAGGCTCCCAACCCGTGGTCTCACTGGGCAAGTGAACCAGGCATGTGGGGTGGCCCTCACATCACCCCGGCTGGGTATGCAATGAAGCCAAAAGAGACATTGATTTGTTCTGGGACCTACTGAGTCCCACCTTTTCACCTTGAACCTTTTGGGTTGATTAAGTCTAAGAACCAAAATTAGGGTTGGATGAGGGGCTTCTGAATATCCACCCATAAGCTATGTGTACATAAATTAAAATGAAGATTCTTCGAGGTTGGGGACCAATATTGGAGCCATTACTTACATGATAACTTTGAGTTTGCTTACATGCCTAAGTAATAGGATATTCTAGAGAACAACTCTTAAAGGAGCCCCTTTGCCTGAGGCACAGTCTCTGCTGCTGCTTTCCCTGCAGGCTCCAGACCTCTAAGCCATCCAGTTATCTACCAAAGATGGAGGTCATTATCACTGGTCATTCCCACATTTGCAAGATAAAATTAATATCTAATGATGACATAGCATCTTACACTTGAAAAATGCTTAACATCCATGGAACCATTTAATCTTTGCAATAATTTAGTGAGCAAGTGGGGTAGGAGTTACCATTTCCCCACAGATTAAAACAAAACAAAACAAAACAAACTGAGTCCCAGGAGGTAATGTGAGCCCTGCAAGGAAGACAGTCACTCATGTTACCATGTGTAAGGGCCCAAACAAAATCATCTGACTCCAGATCTGGGGGCTCCCCCTTCACCATGCGGCTGCCTCTTTCAAAACACATCTGGGAAGAGCTCTTGATGTCCTAAGTTATTCTTCTCACTCATCAGAATATATGTCGTTAGCAGCAATTCAGACAATATAGAGTCATGGGGAAATAAACGGTAGCAGCCCAAAGTCCAGCAGAATCTTGTGACCTGGGATCTTTTTGCAAGCCAGTGTAGAAATTAAGACTGGGCTCTTTCTTTTTCCCCCTTCTTATTCTTTCTTTTCAAGAACTCCCAGAAATTAACTCTCACCACAAACAGCAAAAAGCCACCTGGCCTTCATTTATGTGAAGACTTTCAGTTTGGGATTTCATTTGAGATTCAACCTTTAAATTAGCAATTGCTATGATCAGGAACCTCTCAGACTTTGGGGCCTTCAACACTGTATTAGAAAATGATTAGGAATGTCTGAGATTTTGGGGCTTTCAACACAGTATTAGAAAACTAAAACTGATGTCAACATCTCTGAGAATGTACTTCTCATCTCAGACCTCCCAGGTAAAGAGACTGGAAATAGAGTTCTGTGTAGTCTCCTGTTCCTACCGAGGGATTCCATCTCTGCTAAAGAGCCACCAAGTTCAGGGACCGTGAAACTCCAGACTGCACTCTCCAGATGGAAACTCCAGGACAAAGTACACCAGAGCCAGACACCATCTGATAAGAGATGAGTGAACTAGAGGTAAGGCCATGGACTTCAGACTTGTTTCTGTGGGAACTGAAAAAAATCCTTTGTTGTCCTAAAATATGTCACCTGAATGATCCACTGGACATCCCTGCCTCTGAGGGTGACAGAGGTTTGTTGATGGAAGTCAGGATGAGCATCATCCCAACAACCAACCCTGAAGGGTTTCCATCATGGGTGGGAGGTTAAGAGCATGGCTCTGGGTTTTAGCCTGGGCTCTGCCAGCATTTGCCCAGAACACGTGAACAACAGCAAGTCCCTCCCATGTGTTGGCCTCACTTCCTCCTCTGTCAAAAGTTGTGTTAAAAGAACTGCTATGGGGATCAGTGAGATCATGTACAAAACTCAGCTTGAACTCTATCTACATCTAGTAAGTGCTCATTAAATGCCAGCTCCGATTATATTTGCACTGTTGTTTCTGTTCTAGGGTCTCAGAATACCTTCCTACTTTGAAAGAACACAAGGTCTTAGATGTTACCGAACCCTGCCTGCGCTGAAGGAAGAGTGACATCCCAGGTGCCCCTCAGGACTCCCCTGTCCTTGCCTCCTTGTACCCACCATCTCCACAGTGGATGGTACCTCCACACAGTTCCCTAGCCCAGGCACCCTTTCCCAAAAAACACTCCTTCCTCTGACCTTCCTTCCACCTTCACAGAACTAGGAAGATTGCCCAGGAAACCCTTTGTGGATCAGCAGAGATCTGAGGAAGGCCCTCTCCTCAAGGGGAATGGCTGTGCAGCTTACCAGGGCTAATGAGAGCCACTCACAGCTATTCATTTTACACACCCTGGATTAAATCTTGGCACCACTTGAGATCTTGAGAAACATCAAGAAGAATCCTCTCATTTGACAGCTGATAATTTTACACCTGGAGAGTTCAGATGACTTCCCAGAGTCACACAGCTGCTGAGTCACACAGCTATAATGCAGACGTCCAGAGCCTGGCTCTAGGGCTCTGTCCTCGACACTTCATGGCCTCCCACCATCACTGGAAAATGACATAAGGCCTAGAGAATGACTTCTCATACCCCCCCTCCTCCTCCGAAGTCAGGATACATTTTCTTCTCAGGTAGGCCAAAAGGGTTGTTTCTGGATCTGCATTCTTCTCCACCACCTATAAGAATAAAATCAGAAGAAAAATATATCCTAGGTAGACTTAGCCCAAGAGTCTGTGGAGCTAATAGGGATGTGCTAAATATATCATGAAAACCAAGGTCTTTTTCTTGATAATTCCATAAGAATGAACATATGAACCACAAACCACCCTCTATACTTGCCGATATTCTCCAATTCTAAAATTCTACTTTAGTGCTTCTCTCTGGACCTACCACAGAGGGCTCAGGTATTGCACCTGCCATTCTGAGGTGGCTAAGGCAGAGCCCCCTTCAAATCAAACATGTCATCTCATTTCCAGCTGTTGGATCACACCTGTGAATGTGAGGGGCAGCTAAGAAAGGTGGCATGTAGATCTCTGGCTATGCCCCCCAGCACATACATTCTCAGGCAGCAGAGAGTGTGTCTGTTCCCCTGTGCACACAGGGACTATTGTATGCATTGGGCTATCACAGCCAACACCACTAACACATGTCACACGTGGAGGAGAACTCTCAACCCAAAGGTCCACAAATGATACACTCAATAAGATGAAAATGTTGCCTACAAATTGAGGTGCCAGTTTTTTCAATGCAAATAGTCAAAGGAAATCCATGACAACCTGTTTCACTACTCATATTCATCATACATTGTCAAGGGTAATAGGGTTGGGGTGACTGGGATGATTAAAGACAGAGAATTTATGACAAGAATTTCTTTAGAGAGAATGGTATTGTGAGTCTTACATCTTCCTAAGGTTGAGGAGAGAAGGTATGTACCTCACACCTCAAACTCTGTGAGGGGGCTCCCATAACCCTACATGTGAAGCTAACAGACAGCCCTTGTAGAATGGGGGATAGAATGGTCTGCGTATCTAAAAGCTAGAGATAGGCTTACCAGGCGAGCTGAAGAAGAAAGGGCAGTATTGGCATTGGGGTGCACTCTCAGAGTTTGGGAGAGCAAAGGTTTGCTAGGTGTTGCCTGTGGACCTAGTGTAGCCCATGCAAAAGAGAGAATGTTGGTGTTCTATCTTGAATTGAGACTGTGAATGGAAACTTAGAAATGACCCTAGGACTTCGTTAGTGATTAGGAGCCACCCAAAAAGTCATAACACTGCCAGCATTTGCCTCTTGAAGAATGTTTCAAGGAAAGTGGAGAATCAGATTCGTTTTCTCTTATTACACCCCACGGATCCAGTTTGTTCAAATTCCTGGTTACAAAGTGCACAGGAGGAACTATTTCTTTTCTCTCAGAGAAGTCATAAACACACAAATAAAGATCCCTATCGCCTTTCTTGCAAGTGGCAGGAAGAGCCTCTTAGCTGACTACCTTCCCCTCAAATTGTAGCTTCCTCTTCCAGCTCGGCTTTCATCACATCTGTCCCCTGCTCCGTGCTTTCCTTGACTTCCCACATGTTCAAGATAACATCCAAGGTCCTTACACTGTCTTCTGAGGCCTTTTTCCATTATGTCCCCAATCTTAATTTTCAGCTTTTTCTTCTCCTCCTTTCCTGACAACCTAGTCTTTTACTCCAGTGAAACTTCCCTGGCAAAGATTTTGTATATCACCCCAGTCATGAGTGGTCCAACCTTCCTTGAATTCCTACACAGAATGACTGCACCACTGTCATAGCACGGCTGCAGCGCTGCTCCAGCAATTTCCACAGAACCCTCTCTCAACATGATGCCAGTGGGCATTCCAAAGGACAAACACTTCATGGGGATATGAGCTTAGAGAATGCTAGGTTCATAAGTGGAAACCAACTTGACAATAAACTATTCAAAACATAAAAAATTAAAAAATTTTAAAAAAAGAATAACATTCTTGTAAGAATACAGTATATAATACATGTAATGTACAAAATAAAAAAAAAGAAAATGCTAGGTTCAGCAAATTGCTCTGATATAATTTAAGCAGCAAAACGAATAATAGCTCTAATGGATTATAACTCATTAAATGAAATTAAAACTTGTGAGTCAAAAAAAAAACCCTTATGAATCCAAAGTGATAACTAATAAATAAACAGATCAGAGAGAAAGAAAGTTCTTTCTGACAGAAGAATGCCAACTGATGAATACAATTAGCCTAATTTTGCAATCAGCACAATAACTGACCAAGTCAAGAATCATCAATGGGAGCTGAAACTACTGGGTGAAAGGTTGATCATCAAGATAGTTTCACAGACTTAAAGTATCTTCTCATGGATTATTGATTAACTATAAAAGGTAAAAAAGTAATTTTACTGTGGAGAAAACTGGTGGATACCACCATAACCAAGTGATCACAGTTCACATCCCAAATAATGGAGGAGGCTGATATCATGGGCCTCCCAACTGTAACGCATCGAGAAACACTTATCACTTCTCTGGAATTCCTGCCCGAAGTGCAGACTCTGAATCTAATCATAAGAAAGCAGGACATAAACTCAAAATGAGAGACATTTTAAGAAATAATGGTCTATTCTCTTCGTAAACATCGGTGTCACAAAAGACAAGGAAAGCTAACAAACCATTCCAGCTCGACGGAAGCTAAGAGACATGGAAACTGACTGCACCGTATGACCCTGGGTCCCAGGCTTGGAGGAGAAGCTAAAAATGAGATTATTGGGGAAACTGGAATATGTTGCAGAGGGGTTACAGATTAAACAATAGTATTATATCAACACCACATTCCCTGATTTTTAGAGAGACTGGTTCTGAAAGAATATTCCTACTCTTGGTTTATGAGGTAAAAGGGCATTATATCAGAAATTTACCCTCAAATGTTTCAAGAAGAAAATTGTATGTACTTTATGTATTTATTCCTATTAATTATATACATAAATATATACAATTAATTAGGTATGTATATACATCTATATATTGACATGTATATCCATAAATATATACATAAAATCTAATATATTTGTGTATCATATAAATATCTATACGTGTGTGTGTGTACGTGCAGAGAGAGAGAATTAGAGAGAATGATAAAGCAAAATGTGGCAAAATGTTAAGTTGGTGAATGTGAGTAGTGTATAATACCTCTTTGTATTCTTCTTACAACTTTTTTTGGCAAATTTAAAATAATTTCAAAATGCAAAGTTTAAAAACTAAATTTCTTCAGTAGAGGATTTCTCAGGGCTTTTAATACTTATGCACTCATACTTTCCTCATTAATTGGGCACCTGCTAAGTGCCAACACTGTGCTAAGTGGTTTAAGAGGGTGGGGAGGAGGGGAAACCATGTGATGGACACTGAGGAGGGCACCTGTTAGGATGAGTACTGGGTGTTGTATGGAAGCAATGAATCATGAGAATTGACCCCCCAAACCAAGAGTACACTGTATATACTCGACTGTATGTTAGCTAACGTGACAATAAATTACATTTTAAAAATAATAATAAAATAAAATTCTGGGCAAGCATTAAAAAATAAATATGTAAATATATCCTCTTATTTTTAGAAAAGAGTATCTGCAAGAGTATCTCATGGAGAGAGTTTTCTGTGAAATACATTTTGCAATACATTACTTTGCCTAATTATAATCCACCTCTTTAACTGGTTCTCAAACTCCTGAATGGCAAACACCTGGTCTTAGAGATCACATTTCTCCAGTGCATTCATACCCCACAGGCTTGGTCCATGGAGAGGCTTGTAAATGTGAGAGTGAGTTGAAGCCACCGAGGGGCTCTCTGTAGCTACCACCTGCTGCTTCTTGTGGGAATAGCTCATGGACATCTTTGGCTGCACCCCACATGCCAAATCTGCCAGATTCCTGCAGATGCCACAGTCTCCACTAAACACAGAGTCACTGCCTCTAGAATCCTGCCCACCAAAATGACCATTGCCACCATAAACACCAAAATCCTGGACAGTTCTTTCTTTCCCTCCAACTCTGACTCTAGAACAGAGGATATGAAAATGATAGTCATCATCAAGGCCCATCACCACCACAGAAAACATTTGAGGTATTTGATCAGTGGCATCTTACACTCTCTCCAGAACCTGAGTTGGTGAAGACAGAGTCCTGGGCGGTCTGAGTCAAGGAGAATAAGAGGCTTACATTTAAGAGTGAGTCACTAATTCCTGGGGCGCCTGGGTGGCTCAGTCGGTTAAGTGTCTGACTTTAGCTCAGGTCATGATCTTGCTGTTGATGGGTTTGAGCCCCACATCGGGCTCAGTGCTGACAACTCGGAGCCTGGAGCCTGCTTCAGAGTCTGTGTCTCCCTCCCTCTCTCTCTCTGTCCTCCCCGACTCATGCTCTATCTCTCTCTCTCCCTCTCTCTCAGGAATAAATAAACATTAAAAATTAAAAGAAAAAAAAAGAGTGAGTCACTAATTCCTGGGGCGCCTGGGTGGCTCAGTCGGTTAAGTGTCTGACTTTAGCTCAGGTCATGATCTTGCTGTTGATGGGTTTGAGCCCCACATCGGGCTCAGTGCTGACAACTCGGAGCCTGGAGCCTGCTTCAGAGTCTGTGTCTCCCTCCCTCTCTCTCTCTGTCCTCCCCGACTCATGCTCTATCTCTCTCTCTCCCTCTCTCTCAGGAATAAATAAACATTAAAAATTAAAAGAAAAAAAAAGAGTGAGTCACTAATTCCTGGGGCGCCTGGGTGGCTCAGTCGGTTAAGTGTCTGACTTTAGCTCAGGTCATGATCTTGCTGTTGATGGGTTTGAGCCCCACATCGGGCTCAGTGCTGACAACTCGGAGCCTGGAGCCTGCTTCAGAGTCTGTGTCTCCCTCCCTCTCTCTCTCTGTCCTCCCCGACTCATGCTCTATCTCTCTCTCTCCCTCTCTCTCAGGAATAAATAAACATTAAAAATTAAAAGAAAAAAAAAGAGTGAGTCACTAATTCCTGGGGCGCCTGGGTGGCTCAGTCGGTTAAGTGTCTGACTTTAGCTCAGGTCATGATCTTGCTGTTGATGGGTTTGAGCCCCACATCGGGCTCAGTGCTGACAACTCGGAGCCTGGAGCCTGCTTCAGAGTCTGTGTCTCCCTCCCTCTCTCTCTCTGTCCTCCCCGACTCATGCTCTATCTCT